TTTACTTTAGCTCCACATGTAACTTAATATTGTAAATAATCATCTCTATTCCTGTGATAGCTTTACTTTAGCTCCACATGTAACTTAATATTGTAAATAATCATCTCTATTCCTGTGATAGCTTTACTTTAGCTCCACATGTAACTTAATATTGTAAATAATCATCTCTATTCCTGTGATAGCTTTACTTTAGCTCCACATGTAACTTAATGTTGTAAATAATCATAATCATTAACTCTATTCCTGTGATAGCTTTACTTTAGCTCCACATGTAACTTAATATTGTAAATAATCATAATCATTAACTCTATTCCTGTGATATCTTTACTTTAGCTCCAGATGCAACTTAATACTGTAAATAATCATCAATAACTCTACTCCTGTAATAGCTTTACTTTAGCTGCACATGCAACTTAATACTGAAAATAATCATTTTTTCACAGTTGTTACATTTTTTAAGACATCCTAAGGTTTCAGTATTATCTAAGAAATATCTGCATGAATAATAAAATCAAAATAGTTCATTATAAGTTTAAAAATGAAGTTAGACAATAAAGCACCTTCTTTTTCCTCTTTGTTAACTTGTCACCAGAAAATCCCATGGCATTCAGTATTTCAGCCATCTGTTTTGGATTAACTCCACAGTTATTGGCTACATTCCTTTGGCACCTCTTGTGCACATTCATTTTACAAGCTACATCAAAAGAAACAGAATAACACAAGTAGTTCATATTTTATATATACACAAGGTAACAGACCTTAAATATTATTTTTGAAATAGTAGTGTCACAGGGTTTCAGTTACTGGTCTTGGAGCAGTAAAGTAGTGTTACAGGATTTCAACTACTGGTTTTGGAGCACTAGAGTAGTGTTACAGAGTTTCAACTACTGGTTTTTGGAAGAGTAAAGTAGTGTCATAGGGTTTCAAGTACTGGTTTTGGAGCACTAGAGTACTCTCACAGGGTTTCAACTACAGGTTTTGGAGCACTAAAGTACTCTCATGGGGTTTCAACTACAGGTTTTGGAACACTAAAATAGTAATACAAGATTTACTGTAGTGTTGTTTGAGGACTATAGCAAATTCTTACAGGACAGATTATTATACTAAATCATGACTGTCACAGTAAATGTGGTTACTTATATTAAACCTTCACTTTACAGTAAATTAAATAGAATACTGCTTACAAAAAAACAGTTCTAAAAGCTTACTATTTCAAATTAAGAAATACTAACCTTCACATTGAAGCCCTTGTCTAATGAGACCATATAGCATCGACCCACAATGGTCACAAAATGTGGGCCTCTTGTAGTTATGTACCATAAATCGATGTGGGATGTTGATGTTGAAACGACTACCACCAATCTTTAATACAGAAAAACTAAAACTAAGAATACTAGAATAACTTGCATAGTTACATCAACATTTACACACCTGTGTTACATTACATGAATATATATTCTAACACCTATTTTATAGATGTATTTATACCCAAGCTACATTTAATCTAATAAACAGATAAAGATAAATACACCCATATTTTCAACAAAGTATCAGGCCTTTACCAGCTCAATAACTTTAGAAAGAAGTAGGTAATTGGAATGAAATCATCTTTGCTTCTGATACCATGTAATGTTGGAAGAGCATTATCAGACATTTAAAAATGTAAATATTTTCTTTTCTTTGATCAATTTTCTTGCCATCTATTTATTTACAGGTTAAATTTTACCTCTTCTAGTTAGTAAGGTTTTAAGTTTCACTTTGACTACTATATTATAAAGAAAATAAGTAAAGGAACAATAAAGTATACAGAACGAAATACTTGTCACTGCATTTACTTGTCATTACTGACCTCATCATTGGTGGTATCTTTCATTCCTGTACACTTAGTCACAACAAACTCATGGCATCTTTTGTGGACTACACATGTGCAGACTGTCAAAGGAATGTAACAATAGTTTACACTTACATGTTTATACATCACATAAAAGCTATTCAAGTACAATTAATTATTACATTATTGAAGGTACTACAGTTAAAATCTGTTTTATCTTAATTTAAAAACTGCACTGAAAATAATTTAAAATTTCTCATTTTTTCTCAAACTTTCCCAAAGCAACTGTTTTAAGCATCCTAATTATAAACATATATAATTAGGCCTCTGTATATATTATAACGCATGTTTGTACAATGCACCGTTTTTTAGGAACACATTCTGCACGTTATTAGCAGGTATACCTGTAATAAATTTAATGCTAACTGGTAGTTTAGCCTCTGATTCAGCATCATATAATATCCATGGTTAAATATTAACTGATTAATTATTGTCACTGATTAAAAACTCCCGCTCAGTGAAGTCATGGTTAAAACTCCTTATAATATCAAAGGTCAAATAGTAACTGATTAATTACTGTCACGGTCAAAAACTACCTACCAGTGAAGTCATAGTTAAAACTCCTTATAAAATCAAAGGTCAAATAGTAACTGATTAATTACCGTCACTGATAAAATCTACCTCTCAGTGGAGACGTAGTTAAAACTCCTTATAATATCCAAGGTCAAATAATAACTGAATAATTACTGTCACAGATAAAAACTACCTCTCAGAAGAACTATAGTTACAATCTAATATACCAATCACAAATATTATTGATCTACCAAACATTTTCACTGGAGAGTTACATTTGGGACTATTAAAAGATTAATACAAACTATTTCAAGCTTTTTTTTTCTTCAAGAATCCTGTAAAAATATTCTACCTTCACCTAAAATAGATTTTAGCCAATTATTTCTACGGATATGGGTGGAGGGTGGGTCAAAGTGTGCATGTCATAACCCTTTTACAGAGCTACATTTAAAATTTAATTAAGCTACCTAACTAGCAATGTATGACAATACTTCACATTAAAATATAGTTTATTATTTAAACCTTTACATCATTAAAGTTATAATTTCTTAATGTTAACAGTAATATATTTAAATAAATCCTCACTCTCCATTTCCCTGTGTCATATAATCCTCTGCACTCTGAATTCTCTCTTTTTTTTTTCTTTTGTTATATGGATTTCAGAGTTAACACCAATTAGATACACAAACTATATACTGGCATGCCAGAATATAAACCTCCAACCTTCTTTATTTTCTAAAAATCAGTAAACTTATTACATTCAGAATAGAATCTCCAAGCTCCTCCAAATCTTAATGCTTTTGAAATCACTTATTTGCTCATCCCTACTTGTCAATGGTACATGTTTATAATCAATAAAAAGGCCATTTTGTGAACTACATGATTCTTATGTTTTATTTTCTCAGTTAAAGCTTCTATTTCACAAGTAGATCTTGATGTGTGTAAATTAAAGCCTGTACTCCGAAAATTAATGGAATATTTTAAACCTGTTTATACCTTAGTTAGAAAGCTAGATAAATTATATAAGTTTTGAGACATTCTATTTAAGTGCCCGATATATTTTGTTCTGTCTAAGATGCATATTGGAAAGCTACACAAATGATTTTTGATAAAAGTGAGAAATAAGAAGGCTTGCAAAAGTAGGCATACAAGTGCAAAACAGCTGATGGCTAAGTTACTTGTTAAACTTCTTGTTATTTTATGAATACTTATTTATTGTTTTATATTTCTTACCAAAAGTAACTAAAATGCAAAAATTAAAAATGTAATAGGTTATAGAAGAAAAATGAAATAAAGATTTTTTTTGTGATCACTTTTCAAGGAATGCACACAAACATCACATGATGTAACCTGAAACTGTTAATCCTAAACTTTTGGCTCTCCTGCTTGGTGATATAATACTTGTCACAGTAATAATACAAGGTTCAATGAGCAACAAAACAATAGAATTAAATGAAAGCAGTTGTGAAAAGGTAAGAGTCATAAAGGACAAACTAAGGTCCTCAAACTTTGATGAGCTTGAAAGTAACACAAAACAATTCACTTCCAATTATGTATGCAAATTGTTTCATTAGTATGCACATATTAATGAGCATTGATTCAGATTATCTAAAAATACAATATCTGGAAAACTAATAACACTATCCAACTAAATTATACATCAAATTAAAGTTTAAGAAGAGAGGAAATACATGAACCTAACAACACAAATTTCAAACTATCACAGAAGAAAAGAAAAACATAAAATAATAACTTTTTAAAACCTATGTTTTGGTTTATTCCTGTAGTATTTTCCAAATTTCAGACTATCACAGAAGAAAAGAAAAACATAAAATAATAACTTTTTAAAACCTATGTTTTGGTTTATTTCAGTAGTATTTTCCCAATTTCAGACTATCACAGAAGAAAAGAAAAACATAAAATTATAACTTTTTAAAACCTATGTTTTGGTTTATTCCTGTAGTATCTTCCAAATTTCAGACTATCACAGAAGAAAAGAAAAACATAAAATAATAACTTTTTAAAACCTATGTTTTGGTTTATTCCTGTAGTATTTTCCCAATTTCAGACTATCACAGAAGAAAAGAAAAACACAAAATTGTAACTTTTTAAAACCTATGTTTTGATTTATTCCAGTAGTATTTTTCAAATTTCAGACTATCACAGAAGAAAAGAAAACCATAAAATTATAACTTTTTAAAACCTATGTTTTGGTTTATTCCTGTAGTGTTTTCCAAATTTCAGACTATCACAGAAGAAAATAAAAACATAAAATTATAAATTTTCAAAACCCATGTTTTGGTTTATTCCTGTAGTATTTTCCACTTTATCATGCAATATCAAAACAATTGAGCAAGTTATCACCAAAGAGGTTGCAAACTGCCAGGAATTCTGTTGCTAGGGCAGTTGCTTTGGAAAGATTTTAATTTTCTGTTCAGGATTATGATTTTCAATACCATTTTTGAGGTATATGTAAGGGTATTTTGACAAAATGTGTTGCAGAAACTGAAAGTAGACATTTTAAAATAGCAGATATCTATTTTTCGAAATAGGGTGACAAAATGAAAAAATGGGATAAAAATACCTTAGGATAAATAATTGTAATTGTCTGTTACAATCTGCAGTCATTCTAGAAAAAACAAATGTATTTTTTTATTTCATATTTTTTAAACTTTGGATATTCATTTAAGAGGTTCTAGAGATTATGCAATTGAAATATGAAAACAATAAGATGAAAAGAAGCATTTTTATTCTTAGCATGAAAATCACATTTCACTCAGACTGACTCGGTAAAGGCTTTGTTAATTCACATACAATATTTATTTAACATATCTGACCTTAAAATTTCTCTTAACTTAAAGTGTATTTCGATAGATTCTCAACCTCTGTACACAGAGAGCTATTTTCCTCTTGAAGTCACACTAAGGTGCATGATAAACTTGTGAAAACTCTAACCTAAATTTCATGTGAAACACTTGAACTTGTGCTACTGCATGATGACTTATGTTTCAAAACCCTCCATCAAAAAGAGTGTGATAAACACCTCTCCGTACAAATGCACCCTCTACATTCACATGCAAATTTCCTCATACCCAGGAAAGTGGGAAAGATGGGTGGGAATATGTAAGGAGGAGAGTATCTATGGAAATACATTTTCAATTAAGGAAAATGTCAACTTCTGATACAATCACTCATCTCCATACACAGAAAGCTAGATTCTCACAGTGAGATGGTGTGAAATTACTTAGCCCTTCAGCAAGTATCTGAAGGAAGCCCATGGGGTGTGACACTCTATGGCAGTCTCCATAAGGGTCATACCCATGGGAGACCACATCTCATCCAGGGTATACTCTTCACTCGTGAGTAAGATTACAAGAGGTGAAATGCCTGAACTGTGTTACCAGAATGGGCGGAATAGGTATATGACCATCCAATTACTTGAACACGAGACGTCGCTTGGCCACTAAATGTAGTGAGGTTGGGCCAAGTTCTGATTATATCGTGTGTGCACACCTCTTCAACTATCAGTCTCTACACCTCAAAACCAGCTGTGGGAGAATGACTTGTGATAGGTATCCATGCACGGTTCTTCTATCATCAGACACTTTGAGCCCCTTGCCAGTCCCGGGAGGAGGGCACAGTGCA